GGGTAGTGTGGGGATGAAAAATACGTCTCCCAAGGTATTGCGCTATGTACTACTGATTCAACTTACTCTCAAGGAACAGATAAACACTAATGTGAGCTGTAAATTCCTGCTCACTGATGTGATTGATATTAAGGAGGGCTGGGTCAACAAGGAAACCGTTAAGTTCATTCAGCCATTGGAAATTCCTCACAATTAGTGAAATCATGGCATACCGCCAATCTAGGGCGTCACTATGAAGAGTGAGGCAATTCAAGTCATAGTGAGTTTTTACAAAACTGTTCCAAGCAGTTGTAGGGCCTCATGCATGATTAAAGAAAACGAGGTCTATTGCCCCGATCGATCCCATAAGCCGGGTCCTGGAACTCGGGAGAATCGCGCTCGGGGTCATACATGATTGGGTGTGGGAAGGGTGGTCGAATTTAGCTTTGAGTGAAACCATTCCAAGCTGAGAATGAAACTGGAATTACTACTGAAACTTCCCGAAAGAAACTTACAGGGAGGCTATCTGTCCCGTTTACGCACGTGATATTCACCCCCTTTGTACATCCCCCTGTTCGATACCAGTTTCTCTGGGAAAATTTTTGGAAATTGGTAGGATGTTGGAAGAATCTGGGAGTATAACAAGGTGGCAGGTGGGAAGAAAAGGAATCGCATTAGAGGATGGAAATTTCAAAGCTGGAGTTCTGACACCGTCAGTTCAGCCATCTCGATGCTGCTTCCCAGAAATGCCAAAAAGGGGGAAAACTTCACCAGAAAGAGCTGTTCGCCCGCTCCTACATTCTTAACTTTATTACTGCTTTAATTTTGCGTTGTTTCGATTTATCAATATACCAAAACCACTTAAATTGTAAGTTCCCACTACCGCATGTGATACACTGTAACAGTAAGGTGATTTAAATAGCTCTTTCCTCGGAGAGTTTCCTGCATTTTTGGCATTTTTGGAAACGCCTGAAGTAAGTAAACCCCACTTTTCCACTCTACGAAGGACTCCTATAAAATGGAGATGTCGCCTTTCAAAGGAATCGCTTCATGACCTGAGAGACCCCCTTGTAAGCTCAGCTCCATGGAAATGTTCAAAGCCTGTTTTCAGGGTCACTAGGAAAGATCAAGGCTTTCATATAAGGAGGGAGATGCTTTAGGTGAGGTAAGGCCGCTTAGAACAGCATGTTTGTTGCGCAAGTGATATCTGGACCCATCTGTTTAGTTTGCTTGGGCGGAGACACCTTATGGGATTACCGATCGTTCACAGCAGACCATAGTGTCATTTGGCACAGCTCTTCGTGCTTAATAGTCTTCAGGGTGTCAACATAGTTTCTCGAAAACATGTTGACCACCCCCATTCCTAGAGGCTTTATGTAGTTTATTCATAAATGCATTATTTTTCCGCGGCTCGCTCCAGCAACATCTCCACACATGGACTGAATAATTATATCACATTATATTTTTGCTAGGCTTGTTTGAAGCGTTGCACTCAATTTTTCTCGAAGAACTGGAACCCCAAGGTTTTACGACTATGGGATGAGGATTCAACACCAGAATGTGTGAAATGGGTGCCAGTGCGGTCACGGTACCTCACTCTGGGAAATATTCGCAAAATATGACCCTCTTCGAAAAATTCTTCATCGACTCTCCCCCTTCCCATTACCACCCTACCTACCATCTTTCTAAATTCATTCAAAATCCTATCTCACAATTTTCTTCCAAAGAACTACTGTCGACTGAGGTGGTTAGCGTAGAGCAGGGAGGGGCGTAAGAGAAAGGTACGGCTATGTACACGTGAAATCGCAAAAAGGAAACCAAAAGGAGGTCAACAGCCCAAACAAAACTATTTTTCTCCGGTTCTGCAACTACGACCCCGCGCTCCCCCGTCCCCACCCAGAGACCAAAAGTACGACCCTTCGTGAGCACTCCCAGCGTAGGGACGGTCCTTCGACGCTATAACCGTAAGGACGGCCTTGGCAAGAATCCCTTTTCGCATACACGTCTACGCCCCCAGCACGCTGGACTTTTATTAAAATCTTTTATCAAATCTATTAGAATCTAAATATTAAAATTTCCCCAAAATTCTGTCCTCGAGGGTGATGAGGGATGTGAGAGGGGCTAGTATGTCGCATCTGAAATGGAAAGACCAATAAAACTCTCTCAGCACTAATTCATTAAATACGTCCCTTCCTACCCGGAGACGAAATAGGACCTCCCTGAATCGTTCGAACAAACGATGATGTCTGTACGCCGCCATGAGAATACAGCAATCACAAGTTAACAGTCAGTAATAGTTTGAATGGTCTCAAGAATCGATTGTGCAAATTTTGAGACCGCAGTCCTGCGAGGATTTCCCTGTCATTTTATTACATTTCGCATAAAGTGATTTCTTGCATTTTTCATTTCCGGATGGTATTTCTACTCCATATCCAAAAAATGTTAAATGTCAAAGAACGATATGAAACGGTGCAGAAAGAGCAATGTTATGACACACCGTGTGTGTCACGGGTTACGAAACATATTGCGCGTTTCGGCTATTCGATAAAAGTGATTTTGAACGTGTGAATACTGAAGAATAAAAAAATTCGCCATTAATAAATCTACAACCAAACATCTGGGTGGAAGGGTTCTGTCAGAAAATGGTACATTTTGAGGGTCGATATTTTCTGGTCGTTCGATTACGATTCCGTAGTGATTCTTTTTGCCGCTCGCATGTCGTTAAGTTCGCTCGTGAAAAAGTGTCATCCTTATCAATCATGAGTCACATCAGCCGTACTGGAGCATTTAAGAGCTTGAAACGGCCGTCGTAGCATTGTTGCTGCAAGCCAACTCCTCTCTACAATGCATCCCGTCCATCACCCAGTTCGTTTCCTTTTTTACATTTCTTTCCTAGTCAAGCTATCTGACAAATTTAATTTTTCATCGCTATTCTCTTCTTTTTTCCAGCCAGTTCCAAGTGTCATTCCCATCCATGAGGAGTTGAGGGAAGGCTGCAAGATTGATGTGCACGGTCGAGTGCTTCATGGACATCACAAGTAAGTCCTACACAGTAAGCAGTATTATTTGGATAATTTTTGCTGCAAAATAGAAAAAAAATTTTCAGAAATTTCTCCGTAGAACTGCTCTCAGGACCACATATTGTTCTGCACATCAACTTCCGCTTTCATCATGAACATACCGTCGTGATCAACTCATGCAGTCATGGATCGTGGGGACCTGAGGTGCGTTAGTGTTTACTGAGCTGCATGGCTCATAAATGTGATTATACTGCTCCAATATTTGTCGAGCTATGAGCTGGCACTTCACGGCCAAAGATCTCTGGGACTCTGACCTTGAGGGTTTTGAAAGCGACCACTAGTATCCAGTTACCAGTACAGAATTAAAAAATAAGAGCTAGAAAAAGCGAAAGAAGACGCCATTCAAATTGGACTAACTTCAGGTTCGCCACCATAATCCGCTTCATCACGACCAACACTTCCACTTGCACATTCACGTTCATCACACCCATTATGATGTAAGTTCACGCTTGCATTCTATCGGTACCAGTAATGGTGTAAGTATTTATGAGTTTCTGTATAGCTTACTTGTTCTTGTACGAAAGTAAAAAGGTGTATAAGAGAGTGAGCGAAAGTTCTAGAATTTTGTCGCGATATGTGCCATAGAGTACAGTTTCTGAATGTTCCTATAGTATGCGATACCCTTTTGTACTGCGGTTTATGGGTAAGTTACTGCCTTGTTACAGTCGTGATCTCGGAAAAGATAGGGCGTGTGATGGAGGGGGGGGGGGGGAATTGAAACGCTGTCAAGGTCGCCTTTTTCACTATTCATGCCATCCTGATTTCGCAACAATTGGGCGGGGGGGGGGAAGGGGTGTTGTGGCTGGCATACACGCCCTGTCTTTCATGACTACATTTGCATAACAGGTAACTATCAAGAAAATACTCCTTTTGGGAAGGTGTTGAGTCATCGTCAAACTGCGAATGGAAAAAGACCCCCCCCCCGGACGAACTTGAATTTGAGTGAGTTGGATTAGGAATTTGACTTAGAAAATGTGATTTGGAACTGATAGAATTCTAGGAAGTGGAAATTTGTCCCATGGAACGCGCAGAGGGGATTCAGTAAAACGGCTAGTGCCAAAGGGCAACAGGACTCAGTCCTGAGAAACCGCGTCGATCCAGTGATTGAGGCATTGAATCCAAATCACAAAGGATGCACTCAGGAGGAACTCCAAGGAAAAAAAATGAGCGATGTCATCGTGGAGGTCCTTACTGAAATCAAGGGAATGCCGTTCAGGACATCCCTCGCTACATTGCATGCAAATTACAAGGGTATTTAAATAGCTGATTGATTTGGCAAGAAAGAAACGTTGTCAAGTTGGACCTCTGAGCTTGGTCCAAATATCGCGCAGTCACGCTTCTTGTAACGCCTCTCTTGCCACTCTAGCCGCTGCTTGGGTGCCCCGACTTACACGAAAATTTAGGCCATGCGCGAAGGAGACTTGGATTGGAGAAGGTCATCGTCATCTCACCTCGCCATGATGCGGGTCAGCGTTAGCGGGAGGAAGTAGAAGTTAAGCCACTTTTCAGAACATCAGCCTTTCAAGAACTGGATAAGATAGTTGAAAAGGAAAGGATGAGTTAGCGAAGGAGGAAGTAACGATTTATAACGTAGATCTCAAGCAGTTACAACAGAAAGAATGCAATTATGTGAGAGAATGGGTACCATAAGTGAAAATTTCAAGATCGTACAGATACACTCCATTTCACGACGATGGAGAGGGCGTGGCTGCGTACTCATTCTGAGCAGATCTTTTTCGTGGAATAGTTGATTTAGGGCAACTGTCACCCTGTCCTTTCCGCGCGAAGACATAATAAAACGCCCAAAATGGAAATATTCCGCCAAAATGGCACCTGCCGCTATATTTAAATGAGTATGCAGTCACGTCCTCTACAACTTTGAGGTGCGAAGTGCAGGTGGCTGGCTGGCACGAGTCGTCGAGAGCAGTAAACTTGTTGAAGACATCTCTATACATAAACCGGATATTCTGTAAGTGAACAGCAGTTTAGATTGACTGCAACGGCCATCGCTTGGCATCGTTCCACCATCGATTCCCAGCTGCATCAGTTCAGGCTCTTGGTCTGAAAGGAGAGGTTCACGTTGAGAAAGTCAACTTCGAAGGATTCCACTTCCATAGAGGTACCTTTAAATTTCAACCTTGAAAATTTAGAGAAGTAAGAGGGGAGAGTGTCAAGACAATCGCACTTTGCCGCGTACTCGCGCGCGGCATACCGTGCGACGACGCGTGGCAAATCTTCGATGTCGAGTGGAGCAGCGAAACTTGCACGAATTCAGGCAGAGAAACGACTCCACGAGGGACTCCCAGAGGTGGGCCGTACTGGGCCTCCCTGCCCTTTTCCCTAAATCCGATCAGCAAGGGAGGGCAACTCGTATTTTGGATTAGTGTCGCTCACCACGCCCATCAGCGCGGCATATTACGATTGTCTTGTCACATACCTGGTTAAAGAACTACGACGAGTTTCGAAAGGGTTGTGAGATCAGCATCCAATTAGGCAAAAAATAGAACTAAAGAGAAAAATTAGAGACTTTGGGATATGCTGAGGCCTAAGAAGTCTGTACTGAACTGAATTGAAACTTACAGAACTTAACTGAACTTACAGACTGGAATGCGCCAATGAACTACGGCCATGGAGGATTCATTGGATACGGAACAACAACATATACTCCACCAACGGTACTTTTCTGCAGGACTGATAAGGCTTCTTTGCAGTACTCGCTTACTACTTTCAGGTTCAAATTACACCTGGATACAATGCATACCACTGAAGAACCATCCACACATCCACAGGAGCCTATAAAATGTGATCTTGTCTTTGTTAAGAATGAATTTTATATTTGCTGATTGCGTCGCATTCTCTTTAAAAACAACAATTTCTTCTTGGAAGCTCTACACGTGGGAGAGGCTTGAGCTTTTAATAGTAATTTAGAAGAAAAACTACTTTTTGTCATCTGTGTCTGAAGCAGTTTTCATCCGTTCGGAATGGTGACGTGGTTGGATCCGAAGAGCTCATTACAGATCTTGAAAATCCTTGAAATCCCATTTCATCCATTCCATTACTCCTTGAAAATGGAACATCCACCCTTCTAAATATGTTGTCAGCTGCGGCGGGGCAGTGATGAGAGAGAGGGTGAGGCAGGAAGACTAGAATCGACTTCCAGAGTAACCTTCCTGGACAGCCTGATGATAACTAGAAGCAAGGGATAGTGATCAAATGCTACCAGTGCTCGCCACGGAATTCATTTATCTGTGTAACTATAGCTAAAACCGTAGAGTTACAAAGGCTGAGTCAACGATCTAACTCCGCGTGCGAGTCGAATGCACGGCGCACACTCGCGAACAATAAATCGGCGTGAATCGAATAACTCTTCATTCATTCCGACAGGAGCATGTGATCTACTGCCATACTTGAAATTTTTCACAAGTTTGCTTGCACTAGTGCAGAAAGAGTGGACATTTCGAGTTCTAGAGTTTTCCACAACGAGTACATAAATTGTTTACCGAACAAGGAAGCCCGCGAAAAAGTGAGAAGACTTTGTGGTAGTTTGGTAAAAGTTTGATTGAAGAACGTCATGGTATTGGATTGACAATGAATAAAAACATGGGTGTCAAACAGTGAACCACTTCAAAAATGCTTTAGAAACTGTGGAGCATTCTAGATAACATCAGTAGGCTGGAAAAACCCCAGGCTTGTAATTTTACAGCAAGGTTTCCCTCTTTTAAATGTACTACTCTGAAGACTGTTATGCTTTTTCGAAGAAATGTAACCATAGGGGCCTGACATTTCTCAATTTGCTACAATCCAGCGAATACAATTAGCAGAGGGCGGACCGTGATCTTTGGTGTCCTAACAGTTCAGACTTACAAGAGCTAGCTGTTGGAACCATATACGCAAACACAAGAAAAAAAATATCCTTTCGGAAGCACAGCTTAAAATTGATTTATTTTCCGCTTCGGCTGGTAATAGCAGATTCGCTAAGAAATAGCCAACAGGAAGGAATATGGAGGCACGGTAGAGCATGCCCTAGTTGACCTCATCGGGAGAGCATTTGCTCGAAAAAAGTTCTTTACAGTGATTCAGCCCACCTCGCCACTAAAAGGCATTCCGCCGTTGAGACTGAAACGACCGAGGTCCAAATACGAATTTATAAGTGATAACTCATTTACCAGTGTGAAATGGACAGATCGACCGCCCAACAGGCCCCATATAGTATTGCGCTCATTCTCGGCATCGGACGAGCGCGCAGTGAATGGAGACGCAGAGGCACTTTCCGAGAGAAATCGCGTGCGAGAGCTACACAGCCGCTCACGCAGCATGGGCGACAAAGTCGATCGCAGCGATGGTTCCTGGTAATGACAAGCTCCTAACGCATTTTACACTCAAGAGTGATGGGAGTGATGGGCCGTATGTGGCTGTGGAACAACGCTTCTGAGTAGTTTCTTGTCATAAATGTGTTTGATTGTTGAAAAACTTCCAAAAAAAGCTCGTGTTGATATTCATGAATTCTTGGCTCCTTGGTCACTTATATTGTTGTGCTACAAGAAAGCGGACCTAAAAAATGAAGTGAAGAATATTCTTCGCCGGAAAGAATGCTGAGAAGAGTTTAGGAGGCAGTAGCAGCTGACAGAAGGATAAAAAAAAACAAACGCTCAGCAGTACTCTAATTGCCCCTGTATGAATGTTTTACTCATCTGGGAAGTATCTCATCTATTGACCTCATACTCACTTTCAAAGATACCGTGTCTAATATTAGGTCAATCCCATTCCAAACTGGGCTGTTTTTTTTTGAATAAAGGGCAAAGAGGAGAATGCGATAGAAAGTGATATTCTAGCTTGACGATTGAAGTAAATCGCCTCCTCAACGCAATGACCCGTCTCAGGTGTGCCCCAAGGGCCTTTAGTAGACCTCTGGTACCTTCGATTTTTCAACAAGTGTGGGTAAATTGCTGTTGTTGCCAATTTCGGCAAATGACAAAACATTGTAGCGTCTGCCGTCGGAGAGTACTCTCAACTGAATAGAACAGTTGTAATCGCATGGCTTTATGACGGGCGAATGGGGCGATTGAACCCAGGTCTCAGTATTGTTTGTGTCCCAGCACTGATCTACAATACAGGTTACTCTGGGTCTGGCACGATGACGAGCAATACTATGCCGAGCAAAGGTGGCAATATGCACCGGCAGTGACGGATTTGTTCTCTGTAAGAGCCGCTTGAAAGAGCCACAGTGGGGAATCCTTTGCTATGATGATCATCCACTTGCGCCCACGTAACTCTTCATGGTAGAACTCGGGCGGCTTCTCATCTGCATTCATACCAAATTGACGATTGTGAGTTTTGGCTCGAGGTCCAAGACCACCCACATTTCATCTGGGGCCGGAGTGCGTTCTCACAGTCGTGAATGACATTTCAATGCTTGAATAAGCATTACTGTCTAGAGGCACAGAATCAGGTTTATGCATTTCGTGCTTTTATAAGAAAATTGGGTACCCATGCGCACACCCCCTTGACCATCCTCAGTTTATCGGTCATAACACGTACAGTAATTGCAGCAGGGATGTCAGTCTCGCGGGGAAACCCGACAAAGGTCCAGGCTCTGTGATCAGATATTCAGTGCCTGACTCATCGGTTTTTCTTGTGCAGGATGAATATTATGGGACCATCCACGACAACGAGTTTTTTATTGCGCGAGCATACGGGCTCCTGAACCAAATCTTCCACCGTGTATTTCGAGAACACCCTTACACACAACTATGGTCCGGCGCAGGTCAAATTTGAGCAGCGCACTTTCCTCTTATGACGTCTGATTTGAAAAACCGGCGCCGATTTTCACCACTCGGGCTTCTCAATTTCTCGAGAACTTCTTCTGGGGCTAGGTTCGCCAAATTTCACAGATACATCAGCTATGGTAAATCAGCTTCCAAACGTGAATAGTAGCCGCTTGCTCTATGCCACCTTTGCTTTACTAGCCATTCCTCTATATGTAGCGGCCAGTTTGAATGGGATGACCTAATAGGTTCGCCAACCTGGGTCTGACGCTGGTATCGACAATAATTTCGCAATTTTTATGGCATGGTTCTTGCCTCGGCCTGGTTGAAGCTCGTGGCTCTTCGGAATGCTGACAATGAGCTTGCAGTCTTAACGCGGTGGGTTATCGTCAGAGAAGAGAAGGGTTTCACTTAACCTTTCCCCTAATTTTTTCGTTGTATTTAACTTGACACAATACTTGTAATCTCATCTGTTTCTTGATTGTCTGAACTTTACCTTGACCGTGATCCCCCTTTGAATTCTTTGCCAATCGAAGATAAGCCGGCTGATTATGAGTCCATTCCGCAGTCCTTCTTTGTTCAACCGCTGAGCAAGCAAATTGCAAATAACGTAAATTGCTGTGTTGCCCAATTATCCGGCCAAATACAAAACATGCAGCGTCGCCTGAGAGTAAATACTCTCAACAATAACAGTTATCGCGACATGGCTTATGACTGGCGAATGGCACATTGAACCAGGTCTTAGTATTGTTTTGTCTCAGCACTGATAACAGTAACGGGTGTGTTGGCACGATGACGAGACGGGAATGAACTAGCCGGAAGAGTCAGAGAGCGAGATGATCAGAGCGGGCAGTGACGGATTCTCTGTATAGAGCCGCTTGAAAGCCACAGTGTGGGAATCCTTTGCTATGATGATCATCCACTTGCGCCCTCACTAACCTTCATGGTAGAACTCGGCCGGCTTCTCATCTGCAATCATCCAAATTGACTATGTGAGATTTTGCTCGAGTCAAGACCACCCCACATTTCCTCTAGGGCGATGCGTTACTCACAGTCGCATGACATTCATCTGGAACACTTACTAGCTAGAGGCACAGAATAGGTATGCATTCGTGCTTTTATAAGAAACTTGGTACCCATGCCCACCCCTGAACCCTACCACATTTATCGCATAACAATATCAGATATCTGCAGCAGCGATGCAGTTCGGCGGCAAATCAGAACAAAGGTTCGGCTCTTGTATCAGGATATTCATGCATAGACTCATCCGGTTTTCGTGCAGGAAATTATATGGACCACCCGCAACGAGTTTTTCCTTTCTTCGACACGGCTCCGAACCAAATTTCTACCGTCATTCGCAGAACACCTACACACAACATGGTCCGGCGCGAGCTCAAATCTGAGCACGCAACTTCCAACTTAGACTCTGATTTGAAAAACCGGCGAGCCGACTTTTCACACACTCGGCTCATATCTTCAATTCTCGAGAATCTCTGCGTAGTCGCCAAAATTCACAGATACCAGCAACAGGTAATACCTTCAAAGGAAGTCCCGCTGTCTACCCCTTGTTTTCTCCATTCTCTATAATGTACGGCCAGTTTTGAAATGGAATGACTAATAGTTCGCCAACCTGGATCTGACCGGATCGACAATAATTCGCAATTTGTATGGATGTTCTGCCTCGCCTGGATAAACTCCGTGCTCTTCGGAATGCTGACAATGAGCTTGCAGTCTTAACGCGGTGGGTTAGCGTCAGAGAAGAGAAGGGTTCACCTAACCTTTCCCCTAATTTTTTCGTTGTATTTTAACTGACAAATACTTGTAATCTCATCTGTTTCTTGATTGTCTGAACTTTACCTTGAAAGTGATTCCGCTTTGAATACTTTGCCAATCGAAGATAAGCCGACTGATATGAGTCATTCCGCAGTCCTTCTTTAGTTCAGCGCGCTGAGCAAGCAAAAACGTCGAAAGCACAGGAAGCTCAAAGTTATCAGTTTTATGGTCCTATCTTGTAACTCGCCCGACCATTAAACTTGTACGATAAGGCACTACTCTCGAGCGGAAATGTCACCCGAAATCAGATCTCAATGGACCAAAAAATATCCAAATATATGAAAATAAATGTCAACTACCCGGAGGCTTGCCTATCGATCAGGGTCCGCTGGGCTGCACAATTAATTCCAGCACATTTTCATTTCGGACTGTGTGTGACTTCCCACTTGCCAATGACCACTACAATCAATACGGTCCCTTTGTTTGAAACATGTACAGGGGGGGGGGCAAAAAAAAGTCATTCCGGCCGAGTCACATATGAGCGAAGTTTTCGCAGCCCAGACAGAGGAAGTGGATATGAGTACCAGGGCGGAAGATACCCAAGATCTTCCTCTATAAGCAGGAGCCGGCTGCCGCCATTCACCTTCATGTACACCAAAATATGAAGTCATCTCCAGTCGCGGCCTGAGTGGAGAACGCCTTTGGAATTCACGTGGCCTCCAAACAGCTGCGGAACTTCTTGAATGGAATCACCCATGGATAGCTACCTGGAGACCAGTACTCTTGATCTGCAAGACCTCAAACATCGAGCAGCTCCGGCAACGTCGCTACGGTCCAGGACATCATCTTCACCCCATTCACCAAGGCGCGGGTTGATGGTGTGGACCGGCCGTACCTGGAATGGATGAACCGATATTTTCTTCGTGGGCCCCAGACTGAGGGTGTGCGCTGGTGGCTACATCGAGCAACTCGAGGAGAATATCCCATCTTCATGTCGTCGCCCGTACCTTCTTGGAAACTTTGTACTGCTACAGGATTGGGTGACAACACATTTAATCGAAGGGCACTAGTTGGAATGGAAGCACGCTTGCCACTTTCTCCGCACAAAAGGCCCGGAAATCGGGCTGTAAGTTAGTGGTACCCAAATGCTTTCTTCATAGTCCCGCGCTATCTTCAGCACTTGCTTCGCTACCAAGGCCCCGTAATGAAACACGCTAGAGATCAACCAGAAGTAAGAGGTCGCAGGCAAGTAGCGCGTTTGGCTATGGTTAGGCAAATGACTGGACAGTTGGACGAGCAGCGCAACGAGCAGAGCGCAGAGCCGGTAGCCGTGTATCGCTGAACTCCAACCCCGTTCCCGTGCACTTTTGACTCAAGAAGGTTTCACGCTACTCCGGGCACCCACTCACTCCACACACGGGGAGTGCTAGGAAGTTTACGGTATTGCTTCAACTGGTCATTGGCTGGTTCC